TAACATTACGTATCGTTTCAGAATACACCAGAAAATTGTCGATGAATTGTAACAGAGAAAAGCAAAATACAAAATATGTCTCTCCTCCAACCAATGAAGCACATTGAGATAAAGCTTGTTGCATATTCTTTTCACAAGTTGATATTTAATTCTGCAGAGCAGATATAGACTTCACTATCTTAAACGTTACTACAAAACTTTATTGTCAATAAATTTCTTTTAATCTTGAAATATGAGTCACTGGTCCGTGACGTCAATGCGTGGGCAGTTAGTCAATTATTGAGAAATAAAAACATCCTGGATTTGTCAGAATTCTTTTGTTGTTATAGCAGAATTTCATCTGATAATTTCATCCAATAATTTCAGCAAATTATTCCCATGATATGGTGAGTAGTGTAGTAGATGGCGTGTTTGAGACCATTTTGCCGGAATGGTCCTAAACCGCTATCTAATATACTACTCAGTAAAGTAAATGTGAGTACTTCCATTTTGCCGGAATGGTCCTAAACCGGTATCTAATATACTACTCAGTAAAGTAAATGTGAGTATTTCCAAGGTCACTTTTGACCTGTCTCTTTATAGGAAGGTGTAATACGAATCACTCAAAACTTTTTGCGTAGTAATCGAAGGGTGCAGAAATTAATGTTCACGAGAGGTTTTTTTAACTGGTTGAAATTTCAAAAGGTGATTATTTTCAGTAGCAATCATGGTCCTGTGTGATTCCTCATTAGGCAGGTGCAACAACAGGATTATATTACCGTATGTTTGAACCTGACTAGGACATAAAATTTCAGCTTGGTCGCTGAATAATAAAGATCTCTTATCATCAGCTTTGAAGAAAGAACCAGGCGTAAAGACGCGGACCAATTTGAAATTCTATACCTCGCACTTCCCTTTAATAAACATTTCAAAAGGAATTTGTTAGATATTGGATCACTTTATTGACAAGCCAACGATCCAATTGAAAGGTATTGTTTTAACAAAACACGGCCTCATACTGTCCAACTCGAACAGCTGAAAATTTTTCATGCGCTATGCTAAACTCTCTAAGTTGAGTTTTGCGGAAAAATTCCTCCTTTATGAAAGGTTATATTAGGTTTTCTCACTCGGTACTCAACTTTTTTATTTCAATCTTTTTTGGAACTCCGTTTACATGCACTGATAACTTGAATATTCTTAATGAAAGTGTTCAAAAAGCAATATCTTGATGTCTCCTTTTTGCAACTAGTTAGTTTGTAACTAGTTGTATGACTATCAGAAATAAAACGAGTTTTTGCTGGAAGGATCGTAAAAGTTTTCAAAAACAAGTAGGAGACTAACAAGGAGTCCGAGTCTTGAATAATTAATTAGTATGAACAATTCTTAAACAAAACAAAGTGTATGGACTTGACTAATATGTAAAATTATGTCATGCAAAACCGCAAATAATTTTGTAGCCCGCAAAAATTAAATGAACTATTACGGCATCTTTCCAAGTTCAATGCCTTGCCTTACTGGAAACTGCAGCTCGAAAATCCAGTTCGAAATCTGACTCAAAATCCTAACTCGAGGAAGTGTTTGCTCAAAAGTAGAGTTTCGACTTCGTATTACGACCTCCAGTCGCCAACAATCGGTTTTCGATCGCTGTTCAAGCGACTGCTCGTTTATGGCAGTTTATATTAGGTTTCCTCACTTGGTACTCAACGTTTTATTTCTGTCTTTTTTGTAACCCCAGTTACATGCATTGATAACTTGAAAATTCATAATGAATATGTTCAAAAAGCAATATCTTGGTGTCCCCACTTTGCAACTTGAATGTTTTTAGTAACTCCGGCCGTTATAATTGAGTGAGTATCAGAAATAAAACGAGTTTTTGCCAGAAGGATCGCAAAAGTTTTCAAAAACAAGTAGGAGACTAAAAAGGAATCCGAGTCCATTGCCATGGATGAGTACGAAGATTAATGATACCATACAAGACCGTGATTAGCATTACCGCAAGGCTATTAAATCGAATTCGCACTTCCATAGGTCAGAGTATAGCTAGTAGGCTTAGAAAATTGGTGAAACGTGAAATAAAGTATGCCAAGTCTAGATATTACTGTGACTTAATCAGCGATCGAGCTAAGGGAGATTCAAGTAAATTGTGGAAGGCTGCTTCGTGTTTCAGTTGCAGCTTTTTATCAACTCTTTATATAGTTTTTGCACATATTTTTATCTCTAGGTATCCTTCATTTTACTGTATATAGTTAAATTTATTATTTTTAATATAATTTAGGACCTTTTCTGAAAACCACAGTGATGTGATGAAAGTGTCCTAATAAAAGATTATGATTAAGTTTTGAGTCTTAAATAATTGATATCATCAGCTTTGGAGAAAGAGTCAGGCTTAAAGACGCGGACAAATTTGAAATTCTTGCACTTCCCATTAATAAATATTTCAAAAGGAAAATTACTTTAAAATCACTTTATTGACAAGCCAACGATCCAATTGAAAAGTATCATTTTCAACAAAACCTCATACTGTCAAACTCGAACAGCTGGAAAAATTCCAAGCGCTATACTAAACTCACTTAGTTGAGTTAAGCGGAAAAATTTCTCCGTTATGAAAGTTTGTATTAGGTTTTCCCACTCGGTACTCAACTTTTTATTTCAACTTTTTTGGAACCCCAGTTACATGCACTGATAACTTGAAAATTCTATATGAGTATGTTCAAAACGCAATATCTTGGTGTCCCCACTTTGCACCTTGAAAAGTTTTAGTAACTTCGGCCATTGTAATTGAATGAGTATCACAAAAAAACGATTTTTTGCCGGAAGGATCGCAAAAGTTTTCAAAAACAAGTAGGAGACTAACAAGGAATCCGAGTCTTGAATAATTGATTAGTTTAAACAATTCTTAAACAAAACAAAGCGTATGGACCTGACTAAGATATGGAAATTCAGCTTAGTCGTTGAATTAGAGAGCTACACTAACATACAGACAAGAATCGCCAGCATAGAAACATTTCCAGAGAAAACGGTAGGGAATAATTTTGTATAGGCTTAGTTGCAAAGTATCCCAGTTACAGGTAGAGCTATCTCAGAATGGCATGGCTACGCAAAGTTATTTTCTGGTAAAGGAAAAAAACTACTGGTGTCTCGATGAAACCCAGAAATCAAGTCAAAAAATTTGACCAATTTTTCCTGGCAACAATAGGCTTAATTACCGTGGTAAAAGAATAGAGTAGGATGGAAGATTTATTGGCTGAGTACGAGAGTTCTTACGAAGGCAGCGGACCCTTTCATTCCTTTTTTTACATTTCGCCTCCATCTATGTGTCCCGCCTTCGCCAAACCTTGAATATTTTACGAGAAAAGTTAAAACGTGAAGAAAACTCGTTTCACAAGTGCTGGAAAGCTACTGCAAGGACTAAACTTCCACTATATTCTGAAAAAGAACTCGTTGATTGATAAACTAGAATTGTATTGCTCCCACGAAGCGACTATACTCGAAACTTCAGTTTTTCTAACCTCGCTACGGTGGTTTTTGCTTCCTCTATAAACTCATGGTTGATTATCGACTGATTTTTTTTCCTTTTGCTCGACGATACAGCAGCGTAAACAAATCTTTCAGAAACTTGCAAGCTCCTGTCTCATGCCAAGTTTACATGCAAGCACTTTTCAGCTGCCCACAAATATCGCGGAGATCATTTGGGTGAGAACAGAATGAAACGATCGTGTTAGAAATCTGACTCAAGTGTGAAACATATCCTGATTCCCCGCCAAGATTCCACTTAAACAGACACTTAAAGCAGTCCCCGAAAGGCCCTGAATACACTTTTTATATTTAATTCTTATTTTTGTTCAATAATGCAGTTTGAAAATTGTCCGTATTCCTTTTGGTAAATGAAGCAACCAGGTCCACTCAAGGACACTAGAGTTTTCACATTCCACTCAACTGTCTACATTCCGCTGTTTATATTTGTTTTCTCACTCGGTATTCAACTTTCTATTTCACTTTCTTTTGTAACTCCAGTTGCATGCACCGATAATTTGAACATTCTTAATGAATGTGTTCAAAAGGCAATTTCTTGATGTCCCCACTTTGTAACTTGAAAAGTTTAGTAACTCCGGCCGGTATAATTGAGTGAGTATTAGAAATAAAGCGAATTTTTGCCGGAGGGATCGCAAAAGGTTTCAAAAACAAGTCAGAGAATAACAAGGAATCCGAGCCTTGAATAATTGATTAAGTTAAACAATTCTTAAACCCCACTTGTATATAAGGATGACTTGAAAATTCTTCATTAATGTGTTCAAAAAGCAATTTCTTGATGTCCCCACTTTGTAACTTAAAAATTTTAGTAACTCCGGCCGGTATAATTGAGCGAGTATGATCAGAAATAAAGCGAATTTTTGCCGGAAGGATCGCAAAAGTTTTCAAAACAAGTAGGAGAATAACAAGGAATCCGAGTCTTGAATAATTGATTTAGTTAAACAATTCCTAAACCCCACTTGCATGTAAGGATGACTTGAAAATTCTTAATGAATGCGTTCAAAAAGTAATTTCTCGATGTCCTCACTTTGCAGCTTGAAAAATTTAGTAACTCCGGCTGGTATAATTGAGTGAGTATCAGGAAGGATCGCACAAGTTTTCAAAAAAAAGTTGGAGACTACAAAGGAGTCCGGGGCTTGAATAATTAACTAGTATAACCAGCCTTCATTATTCATTTAATATTCCATTTCCTGACCAGAATGCAAGTCAAGCTAGTGGTTAAAAACCACTAATATTGAATGACTGAATACTTTTTGGCATTGCACAAACATCCGTTTTCCTGAAATTTGAGGTCCAATTTGGCAAATATATACGATTTTTCTCTACGCGCAATTTGTAAAAATATAAAGTCAAATTACAAACATAAATGCATGCATGTTGATCGTAAACTCACGAAAAGCCATTCTACAGATTAAAAAGAAGTTTAGGGCAATTTTTAGCCCAGCAGATTTGTTACTTTTTTCCTTTTCAGGGAAGGTTTTTTCCTAAACATGCGTCGAGAGGAAATGGTCAAAAACGTTTTGTACGCAGCAGGGCTGTTGATCAAGAGCCTGCTGTTATGCTGTACAGCTGCAGAGCAATGGGAGGCTACGGGCCAGCCGGAAGTTTCCAAGTTTGGTATGATGCTACAACGCCATATTTTCAAGAGGATCGCGGGGGCTGGTCTTTCAGATGTGTGCTTGCGGGAATGCTATGCTGACGTCAGATGTCAAAGTTTCAACTACGTCTTTACGCAAGACATTTGTGAACTGAGCAACCGAACCAAGGAGGCCAGACCAGAGGATTATGTTCCGAACCCTGAAAGATTTTACTTTAAGCGAGATTACAAAAGAGGTTTGTATATTTTTGACTGTCTTCTTCCCTTTAAAGACATTTTAACACTCAAATTTTTTGGGAAATTTTAGAAATTTGAGGAAATGTGTCACATTACCTCCCTTCTTGCCCCAAGTCAAGTCGCCCTCAATGTGAGTTTATCATCCCCTAAGACGAATATCAAGTCATGGTTGCTATGCTAATAATTGCTTTTTTCTTCCAGTCCCTCTCGGTTCCATTCCTGAGCTGCCTGTGGAGACTTGCCATGAAATCAAAAGTAGCGAAGGAGGACAAGCGGTTAGCGGCAAATACTGGTTTCACTCAATTGTACCCGAGAGTAGTTTTCTGGCTCAATGTGACATGAAAACTGAAGGTGAATTCAACTGTTTATCAATTCTACTACAGACCAAAAATGGTTTACCACTAACAAAAGCGTTGACAGAGATGTTATGGGTAGACTGCGACCCCCTTGCCCCCCCAAAAAAAAAAATAAATAAATAAAAAAAAATAAAAAGGCGAAAAAAGAAACAATTAAACTTATCCGCTAACGGGAAATAAAATTATAAAGCAAAACAAAACAAAATAAAAATAGTAAGATATCTGACGGAAGCAAAGCTATGGAAGAATGTTATAATCTCTCTTAAACTGATCGATTCGAGAACAGGTCAAATAGAATTGAAAAATCTTTTTTTTGACATACTTAGATAATTATTCAATAAGTAAAGATTTGGTAAAGCATTTGACAATAAAAATCTGCGATAAAATATTATAAAACATAACACGACGTTTCGACGTTTCCAGAACGTCATTATCAAGTGAACTAGAATAATAAAATCGAGTATATATATAATGAAGCGGTGAATAAATTAAAAGTCAAACAAAGAGTTTGGCCCTAATGGAATCGCTCTGGGTGTTTAAATTGGGCCTTATTGTTCTTATGTACAACATTTCATAAACAAGAAAATCCCATTTCGTGCCACATTTTTTAAGCATTCTAAACTGGCTCTTATTGAGTAAGTCAACTCACAAGCCTACTCTGAGTATGCGTCCAATTCTGTCAGCCTCAGGGACATACAACTATAAGTTAGCTAAATGGTTGGAGGAAAAGCTCAAGCCTCTCTCGATGAATCAATACACCATTGACGACGCTCTTGGTTTCTCTAAAGAAATTCGCGAACATCTTGTCCTTGAAGGCGATATACTGGTTTCATACGACGTAACGTCATTGTTCACAAATGTCCCAGTTCAGGAAACCATCAACATCCTTGTCGAGAAAGCCTTCACCGAAAATTGGTTCAATTCAACGTACGATCTCAATTTACAGAAGGATCAGCTCACTCAACTTCTCAGAATGGCTTCCACGGATCAACTTTTCCAATTTGATGGTCAACTTTACGAAAAGTGTGAAGGAGTTGCTATGGGGTCCCCCCTTGGTCCTTTGTTGGCGAACGTGTTTATGTGCCATCTGGAAGAAAGACTTTCTGACGATGATTTAATTCCTTCTTATTACAAGCGTTATGTCGACGATACGCTTGCAATAATGCCTGGACTCGATGCAGCTGAAAGTTTCCTCAATGTACTCAATGGACTCCACCCTAGTATTCATTTCACTATGGAACTTTCCAACAACGATTCAATTCCTTTTATTGGAACGTTGATAACAAAGAACGGCAACAAGTTGGAGACTCAGGTCTATCGTAAACCTACGAACACGGGCCTTTTACTTCATTTTCAAAGTCACACCGATTTGCGCTACAAGAAGTGTCTTATGAAAACAATGGTTCATCGTGCAAAGGAATTGTCCTCTACGCATCAAGCATTCGTCGATGAGTGTAGGCATCTAAAATCTATGTTTCATCGCCTTGGTTACCCTAGTTCTTTGGTGAACTGTATTATCGACAAATGTGATTATTCCTCTACACCAGATACTAAGACAAAATCTGATGAAACTTTAAGAGTCAGTATTCCTTTCAAAGATCAAGTCTCAGCGAACATTGCCAAAAGACAAATGCGCGATCTCAGTTCAAAAATCGGCATTGATGTACAACCAGTCTACACCAGTAAGAAACTTGAGCAGGACCTAAAGCTTAAAGAAATCAAGCCATGCATCGTAAGTCAGCATAGCGTTGTTTACTGTTTTAAATGTGATTTGTGTGATTCAAATTACGTCGGATATACGACGCGCCATTTGTTTCAAAGCATTGCTGATCATCGATACTCTGCCATTGGTCGCCACCTGAGAGATGCCCATGGGAACATTGACTTACTCAATGAGAGCCAGTTTAGAATGCTTAAAAAATGTGGCACGAAATGGGATTTTCTTGTTTATGAAATGTTGTACATAAGAACAATAAGGCCCAATTTAAACACCCAGAGCGATTCCATTAGGGCCAAACTCTTTGTTTGACTTTTAATTTATTCACCGCTTCATTATATATATACTCGATTTTATTATTCTAGTTCACTTGATAATGACGTTCTGGAAACGTCGAAACGTCGTGTTATGTTTTATAATATTTTATCGCAGATTTTTATTGTCAAATTATTCAATAGCAACCGTTAAAACAACTCTATGGTGACAAAATTTAACGAATAGAGGAGGGGAAATTTTGCTTCCTGTAGGGGTCGTAGAAAGTAAATTTCGGCTTTTGGTTCGGCAGTAACACGGTAAGGAAGAATAAAATGTTAATCCCTCTTAGGGGTTAAAGGGTTGAAAAATACGTCTCACTTGGCGCCTAACTTACCACCCTCCCCCCCCTCAAAAAAGAAACAGTTTCATTGATTTTTAAAGTTTGTTGCTTACAACTATGTCGAACTTTCTATCTTGATCAACCTTAATTCTTCTTTTTTCATTATTATCTTATTTTTATCTCGTGGTTTCCTATCATTCTAAAAGAGCATTGATTGGTATAAATAACGAGGCGAGATATGATTATGTGTACTGGGTTTAGAAATCTGGAATGTCACACAAACACGCTTTCATAGCTTTATCTCGTTAACACGTTTCCATGAGTGCACTTCCCAGTTCACACATGTTGTGCCTTAGATCGACGTACGTCATACAACGGTTGTCACGCTGTGATTCGTAAAAACGAAAAAAGCGAAATGTAGACATTACCACCACCAAGATGACAAATGCAATATGATGCCAAAACTTCAAGGTAGGGCAATCCTTACCTTTTCTCCCTTTTTCGGTTATTCTTATAGGTGGCCTTAATAGTTCCGTTATTCTTACCAGTCTCGACTACAACAACTACACAGGTAAGCTGCTTTCCTACCTTGAGCCAGTCTTCCTGAGTTCAGGGCGGAGCAGGTTTGTGAAGTGTTGGCACGCTAAGGCAGACGGCTGGGCGGCATCGACATTCCACAGCAAATGCGATGGGAGGGGCCCTACAGTGACAATCATCACAAGTGAACGATTACATATTTGGTGGATATACTGATGTGTCCTGGAGCGGAGGTAGGCATATCAAATTTGTTAAGAGGGGACAAGACAATTTTATAGGATCAACTATCGTTCCTTTAGGGATGGGGGGGGGGAGATGGTGTTGGAGGAAATTTGAAAGGATGCTCCTTTGATAAGAGCTCCTATCCTTTATTATTTCATATTAATTGTTTGGCCATCAAGATATCTTCACACCTACATCGTCTGTAGAAATGTTTCTTATTTGATAACTTTGATTGGTACTCGTTTCTAAACCAAAACTAGTAAAATATCTCTCTCCCTTTCACAAATCTCTAGTCTGAGATAAAACTCTCAATCTAGCTCATGATAGAAACTGAATTCCCCCACCTTCCTCAAGGGGTTTATGTTTTCTTCCAACATTTTAATGTACAACTACATTGTTCTTCTATTTCAGCTAATTCTTGTGCAAATTATTCCTACGCCAGTAAAGCTTTCATCTTCTCTCTTTATAACGTCAAAGGATACAATCCCGTAAAGTTGACACAATACCGAAATCAGCAATATGCAATGCGTAGTTGTAATAGGCGTGGACCCACCTTTGGCAGGGGATGTGGTCATGATATCTTCATATCTGACGACTCTGGAAACAACCAAAAATCCTACACAAGATGCGGTTGCACGTACACGGCACCCTCAGGGTACTCAACTGGTGACTGTGGTTTTTTTACAGGGGGGTCTCATTTCTCTCCAACGGACGTCGAAGTATTCTATGAAGCTGGTAATCAAGAAAAACACCCCTTTCCAAGGATAAATAGTCAGTATGGCCTGTGGCAAAATCAAATTGTGTAGTGTAGAAATATTCTCGGAAAGTTGTGTTGCTGGCGTACGGATAGCTTACTATTTTGTCATTTTTTGTCAAGGAATGTGTAAACTTATAAAGTCTATCTTGCAACATTCATTTAAGTTCGTCATATATCACATTGAGTGACGAGCCCGAGAGGACTTGCCTGGATTGCCGCAGGGGTTTGTGGGAACTACATGAAAACGAAGTTGGCGGGGCCACTTGAAAGAACGCCTGAGCTAGCAAAAAAAATTCAGCCATGCTTTGATGCTACTCTGGCTTAAAGATTTAATGAATGTAACCGAGATGTTACATTGCATAAACTCAACGTTTGGACACTCCGGTGTAATGCTTTCATCACAACCCCTGATGAGGATTTGATTGTCCACCTGGTTGCTTTGTGAACTTTAAATTCAAAGGCGACACCACCAATCAAAACTTTTGTTTAATTTATTTGGCCAACTGTAATTTTTCCTTTTCTTTTCCCTCCTCAGGCCTCGGTTTGTCCGCCATACTTCGAAGTCTTGATTACAACCAGTACTTGAAGGTGCTGTTTTCATATTTGGACCCAGTCCTTATCAATAAAGAACGTAGTAGGTTTGTGAGGTGTTGGCACGGAAAGACGGACGGTTGGGCAGCATCGACATTCCACAGTAACTGCGATGGGAGGGGACCCACAGTGACCATCATTAAAGTTAACAATTATATCTTTGGTGGATACACTGACGTGTCCTGGACCAGCAGTAAGTAAAAGACAAGCAAACATCTCTCACATGTAGAACAGATAGCCAATCGATTAGTGGTAGACTTTCCTTGTAGCAGTGAGTTGATCCTAGAAACAGAAAATATCACTTTAACAACTGCGATCCCAAAGTAAACAGACTCGTAAATAGCCTGGAAACGTGTATCAAACGGGTTTTAACTTAAAGTCTTGTTTTGAATTGGATTCTTGATTTGATTTTGATTTGATTTCATTCTGACAACTCTGTTTCGTGTCATTTCCCCTTGTTTCGTTGTATCCATTATTCATATTGGAGAGCTTAAACAAAGGATGTTTAGTTAACTCTCTCTTTAGATCGTATGCTGCCTTTGAATAAAACTTCGGACCATATTTCAAATGCTTTTTTTGAAAAGTGAAAATATGCTCATGAGTTCTTTGAAATTTTATCGAACAAATTGTTCGGCTCTATTTCGGCAATTAAAAAAAATCATTTTTTATGGTTATCATCATGAACTTTTTTCTCATTCGTATAGTTTCTAATGCTCCTAAACCTTTTCATTTTAGGTCCCTGTGCTTATTCTTCAGCCAGCAAAGCTTTTGTTTTCTCTCTTTACAACGTGAAAGGATACAATCCTGTGAAGCTGACACAATACCAAAACAAGAAAAACGCGATGTACAGATGTTCCTCTCACGGACCCACTTTTGGCTCGAGACATGATATCTACATATCAAATGCCGCAAAAAACAATCAATCATCTTATACCAGATGCGGTGGCACGTACTCCAACCCCACGGGCCATTCAGCTGGAGATTGTAAATTTTTCACAGGAGCATCAAATTTCACTCTATCTGACATTGAAGTTTTCTTCGAAATAATAAACTAAACACTAAAAACTATGCTGTCTAAGTAAGTATCAAGTAAGTATTGTAACAATAGAGTTAATAGAGTTAGTGCCTCCTCACACAAGGCCCGGTTAAAAAAACAGTATGTAGTTTTAAGGGAGGTTAGAGGTGGATAGAGACATAAAAAGTCGGTTCCAGTCTCCAAGACAGTAAAGACATGCGAAAGGGCAAGCAAACCCAAACGGCGTTTGTGGTTCTCAGGAAAACAGCTGAGCGCCTACGGACTGAGAGATAAGGAGATTTGAGATTTGCGTTTAGCCTTACCTAGCCCCGATATTTAACACATGTTAAACTTACCATGAAAAAATAATTCAGTTTGTATAGAAACACTTTGTCGGACAGTTGATTCTTTTGACAGAGATGTGATTATGTCATCCAGGAAGGAAGCCTTTCAACAAGGCCTCTGGATGAAATTTCGACCTCACTTGTTCTTGATTTATCAAGCACGTCTGAACCTTAGGTCGATATCGAGTTATACAAAGAATTGGTCAAATATAATTTAAAAATTATTCGAACATTAAGTTTACATCTGATCAAAACTGTGGCTGTCAGAAATCAACTGTAATCCTTTGAATGTAAATAAAACTAAGTTCACCACTCGTTTATTTTCATTGTGTTTCTTTCACCGTATTAAGATAACCTTTGGTCTCAGTTTTCAACGACTGATTGATGCACAACAGTATTAGAGCGATGAACCCAAAGTAAAATGTTCGCACGTGCACGTCACGCGCCAGATCCAACGAGTAGTTCCACCTTGGCAAAATTTCCCGCAGCTGGGCTTTTCCCGCGCTTTTTAGTACTTCCACATTTTCCCGCGCTTACTTACTGCTTTGTTCTTTCCCTCTCTTTTTCCCAATTTCATCCATTCAATGTTTCCTAGCGCCAAACGATAGCTGTATACTTTCCCATGTTTGTCACTTATCAGCTATTCCTTAGCAATCGTATTATTCTGCACTTGCGCTGCAGTAGCATGCATTCGAGTTGCCACTTTGCCTTACTATAAATATGAGCTCGCGAAAGTTTTTTTTGTTTCCTGCTTTATGGCAGCCATTACATGCTAATTTCATACCATAACCACCAAAGATGGATTCTCTTTGCATTGACCAAAGAAACGAACGGATGCAACTCAAAGAGTCGTAACTACCATATAGTCTGTTGATGTCAGTGTTATCTGACTATGCAATCTAAATAAGTACCACCTGAGTATAGTAACAATAAACTTAACCCTTTACACCCTAACATCAGTAGAGGTATTCTCCATACTGTTCTCTATACATCTCCTAAAGTGCTGACAATGAGAATTTGTTCGATAATCAAGAGTCTCTTTAGTCAAAGATCATTTTCATTATTCTCATGACCTAAATGTGTTTTTCTGGGGTGATCATGTAAGGAGAAATTTCATACTAGTCACTCTTAAGGGTCAACAAAACTTACTCTGTTTCTGCAATCTCATCACACCGCCGGTGAGATGAGATCCCAGAAACATCATAAAATTTGCGGAGGATAGAGCGGCTCTTTCCTTCGATCTTTTTATATAAGGAGCTGAGTTAGCTTAGTTACCAAGATTTTCACAAGTTACTTTTTCGATGTTATGAAAGTCTTTATCAACAAAAGCGACAAGTGTGCCATAACGATCACCAGTGAAATTATTGATGGTACTCATAACAAAATCAAATGTATTTGTCCTGCCTATGTTTTTATCAAATTTTCATTGTTAGAAATTGTCTTTTTGAGATCAACAACATTTCCTTCTCTCTGTTCATTAAACATTCCCATATCAATTTTCGGCAAAGAACCTGGCGTTAAACACCCCCATCTAACTTTCCACAGATATATTAATGAGATGAAAAGTATTGATATCAACCCTTTTATTATTTGTATTTTCAGTATTAACGATATCAACATCTCTTAATCCACCTAGTTCACCGAAATGTAAAGTTTTAGCTAGGCCCTTATAACCATCATTAATGTGTATTATTTGTATTCCAGACACGTTAAAAGTTATGGTTCCACTTGCAGTATCGAAACTGAAATGAACTATCTGGAATTAAGACATTAGCTCTACTTGCAGTGAACACGATCCCACTAACATTATCATGTGAAACTTTGTTACAATAATAATACACCTTTGCTGTGGCATCATACATACTTTATTCGTAACCGGATTTTGATCATTTACCGCATCTTGTACAGTCAACTCTTTTACCGGAGTTTGAAATTCAAGAGTGTCATCTCGTAGGTCATAAACTTGATCCCATACCCTCGTCGGCAGCACATTTTGGTGCCCTTTAACATCATACACGACGACAAATACTTGCAAGTCTTGTGTATAAGAGATGCCAGTTTTCTTTCTAAAACCATATTAATCGATAGATAACTTGGAGTCACATTATTATATTTATGAAGATGAGTTATACTTCGGCTGTGATTACTGAGCGTATTAGTTGATATTCCTGTAACTGTCTCAGTATTGCTGATGGCTGATATTTGGACTGTTGAACAGTTGATTGATGCTGAAGGAAAATACAGTTAAAAAACGATTGTATATTTACCGGTTGTAAGAGGGAACATATTCAAACCTACACGACTGCTGTAATACCCTTTGCTTGAATCGAGATGAAGTCTCATCTCATATGTCTCTGCTTTGACTTGGCGAAAATTTTTATTAGTAATCTGGACACCTGCTTCATCGCTTCAAGTGTTATGAAGACTTTAAAAATTGAAGAAACTAGTTTTAATTCGATACCAGGTTTTGAATGACTACTTTTTTTAAGTGACGGTTATATGAAACTCTCAATATCTTCATAAGAGTAATTCCCATCTGGTATTGTTATTGTTGTCCAACTGGTTCCAGAATCAGCGTTGTCTTTCAATGTATTATTTTTATAAATTTGTGCATTATACCAACTGTAACTCAAATTTGAAATTCTATACCTCGCACTTCCTTTGAATAAATATTTCAAAAGGAATTTGTTAGATATTGGATCACCTTATTGGCAAGCCAACAGTCCTATTGAAAGGTATCATTTTAAACAAAATCTTATACTATCCAACTCGAACAGCTGAAAATTTTTCATGCGCTTTGCTAAACTCTCTAAGCTGAGTTTTGCGGAAAAATTCCTCGTTTATGGCAGTTTATATTAGGGTTTCTCACTTGGTACTCAACGCTTTATTTCTGTCTTTTTTGTAACCCCAGTTACATGCACTGATAACTTGAAAATTCTTAATGAATATGTTCAAAAAGCAATATCTCGATGTCCCCACTTTTCTACTTGAAAAGTTTTTAGTAACTCCCGCCGTTATAATTGATTGAGTATCAGAGATAAAACGAATTTTGCCAGAGGGATCGCAAACGTTTTCAAAAACAAGTAGGAGACTAACAAGGAATCTGAGTCCATTGCCATGGATGAGTACCAAGATTAATTATACCATGCAAGACCGTGATAAGCATTACCGCAAGGCTATTAAATCGAATTCGCACTTCCAGAGTATAGAAGGCTTAGAAACTTATTGAACCGTGAAATAAAGTCTGCCAAATCCAGATATTACTGTGACTTAATCAGCGAAGCTAAAGGAGATTTAAGTAAATTGTGGACGGCTGTAAACGAAGCGTCATCTCCTAATAGCAAGTCTTCGATCCACAATGCATTATCGCTGACGGAGTTCATCATACAAAACCATGGTCAATCACCTCTGCCTCGAACTCTCATTTTGCGTCTATAGGACGGATTTTGCTGAAAAAAATATCATGTGTAGCTCGTGCTTCACTGCCAATTGATGGTCATTCTGAATTGTTTCAATTTCAAGAAATTAGTGAAGCGGTTGTTCATAAGCAGTTACTCGGTCTCAAGGCAACTAAAGCAATTGGATTGGACAATATAAGTGCAAAGTCTTTTGAAGTGTAGCGCCCAGTCAATTACTTATTCCATCACGAAGTTAATAAATCTTTCCATACGCACAGGGAAGTTTCCGGGGATAAGGAAGTGCTCTAAATTGACAGCTTTATTAAAATCTGGAGACCGAACAAAATCCAACAAACTATCGCCCTATTTCAATTCTACCCACTCTCAGCAAGATCTTAGAAAGGATAATCCACTATCAGTTGTACGAATACCTTGATTCAAATAATGTACTTTCAAATGTGCAATTTTGGTTTTCGTTCTAAACGTTCAACAGCCACTGCATTGTCTGGCTTTGCCGATGAAGTCTTATTAAACATGGAAAAAGGGAACATTTGTGGTGCTGTATTTCTGGATCTTTCAACGGCGTTCGATACAATCGATCACGGGATCTTGATGTCCAATCGTCATCAGTTGGAGTCTCCCCACGATCTTTGGAGTGGTTTTCTTCGTATCTGAGTAATCGGAATCAGCAAACCTCTTGTGATAATAAATTATCCGAAGCCCTTCCCGTTACTTTCGGGGTTCCACAAGGAAGCATCTTGGGACCCTTAGTGTTCCTCGTGTATATAAACGAGCTACCTGCAGCTATTCAACACTCCGAGGTATCATCGTACGCTGACGATGCTGTTCTTTACTGCTTCGCAAAAGAACCTCGCGAGCAGGAGAGCAAGTTGAACGCAGGTATCTACAACGCAGCATTGTGGCTAAAAGCGAATAGACTTACTTTGAAGCTCTCTAAAACCAAATCCATATTGATGAGAAGTAATAGATAATTATTTACTATTTCCTCGTTGTCTCTTTCTATTTTTGATCGTAGGTTAGATAGCATAAATAGGTTTAAATATTTAGGGGCTATATTGGCCTCAGACTTCACATGGTCAGATCATGTAGAGTATATAATTTCTAGTTAAAGTTAATCAACGGCTCGGTCTTTTACGCATAACTTGAAAATTCTTAATGAATATGTTCAAAAAGCAATATCTTGATGTCCCCACTTTGCAACTTGAAACGTTTTTAGTAACTTCGGCCATTATAATCGAGTGAGTACCACAAAAAACCGATTTTTTTGCCGGAAGGATCGCAAAATTTTTCACAAATATCGCGGAGATCATTTGGGTGAAGATAGAATAAAACGGTCGTGTTAGAAATCTGACTCAAGTGTGAAACATATCTTGATTCCCCGCGAAGATTCCAGCCTCAGACACTTAAAGCAGTCCCTGAAAGGCCCTGACTACACTTTTTTTATATTTAATTAATATTTTTGTTCAATAACGCAAGTGAAAATTGTCCGAATTCCGTTTAGTGTGCCATTTCCACCCAAGGGCACTAGAGATTTCACATTCCACTCAACTGTCTACATTCCGCTGTTTATATTTGTTTTCTCACTCGGTATTCAACTTTCTATTTCACTCTCTTTTGTAACTTCAGTTGCATGCACCGATAATTTGAAAATTCCTAATAAATGTGTTCAAAAGGCAACTTCTTGATGTCTCCACTTTGCAACTTGAAAAGTTTAGTAACTCCAGCCGTTGTAATTTAGTAAGTATCAGAAATCAGTGAAACGAATTTTTGCCGGAACGATCGCAAAAGTTTTCAAAAACAAGTAGGAAACTAACAAGGAATCCGAGTCTTGAATAATTGATTAGTTTAAACAGTTCTTAAAAAAAAAAAAAAGCTTTTGGACTTGACAAACATGTAAAATTATGTCATGCAGGACCGCAAATAATAATTGATCAGTACAAACATTTCTTAAACAAAACAAAGCGTATGGACCAGACTAACGTGTAAAATTATGTCATGCAGGACCGCAAATAATTTTGTTGCCCGCAAAAATGAAACGAACTATTTCGGCATCTTTTCAAATTCTATGCCTTGCCCTCCTGGAAACTCAAACTCGAAAATCCAGCTCGAAATCCGACTCAAAATCCTAACTCGAAGAAGTTTGCTCAAAAGTAGAATTACGAGTTCGTATTGCGACCTCCAGTGGCCAACAACCGGTATTTGATCGCTGTTCGAGTGACTGCTCGATAAAGGAGAAACTCCAAATCCTAACTCGTTAACAGCTCCTTACGAACAATCCTAACTAATACAGCTCTAACCAGCCTTTCTCCATTATTCATTTAATATTCCATTCCCTGACCAGAATGCAAGTCAAGCTAATGGTCAAAAACCACAAATATTGAATGACTAAATAAGTTTTGGCATTGCACAAATATCCGTTTTCCTGAAATTTGAGGTCCAGTTTGGCAAATATATGTGACTTTTCTCTACGCGCAATTCGTAAAAAATAAAGTTAAATAACAAAGATAGAAGCATGCATGTTGATCGTGAACTCACGAAAAGCCAGTCTACGGATTAAATTGACGTTAGGACAAGTTTTAGCCGAGCAGATTTTTTGCTTTTTTTCTTTTCAGGGAAGGTTTTTTCCTAAACATGCGTTGAGAGAAAATGGTCAAAAAGGTCTTGTATGCAGAAGGGAGCCTAGTGTTATGCTCTAGAGCTACACAGCAATTGGAGGTTACGAGCCAGCTGGAAGTTTCCAAATTTGGTATGATGCTACAACGCAACATTTTCAAGAGGATCACGGGGGCTGGTCTTTCAGACCAATGTCAACGTCTTTACGCAAGACATTTGTGAGCTGAGCAACCGAACGAAGGAGGCCAGACCAGAGGATTATATTCCGAACCCTGAGAGATTTTACTTTAAGCGAGGTGAATTCAACTGTTTATCAACTCTTCTACTGACGAAAAACGGATTACCCCCGACAAAAGTGTTGACAGAGATGTTATGGGTAACCCCGAGCCCCCTTGCCCCCCCCCCCCATCTCCCAAAAAAAAAAATTAATAAACAAAAAAATAAAAAGGCGACAAAAGAAACAATTAAACTTATTCGTTAACGGGAAATGAAATTAGAAAGCAAAATAAAACAAAATAAAAATAGTAAAATATTAATTCGACTTTTTTTTGTCATTTAAAAGGAATGTGTAAGCTTATAAAGTCTCTTTCGCAGCATTCATTTAAGTTCATCACACAATAAATGCACAGGGAAGTATTGAGTTAAAATGGGATCACATGTTAAGCACATCACCCTGTGAATAAGGAGATCTGGGACTATAATTTTTTGTGAAATACTCTCACGGTTGTAAAAGAAGAAATAACATCTTTCTATATTCTAGAACGTCTGGTATTGCAATTTACATTCGAGTTTCTTTTACGCACACAGATGGCCTTAGTGCATCCATTATACTTAGAGGCCTGAACCCCAATAAATACTTGGGAAAGCTGATTTCGTTTTTAGACCCAGTTCTTCCCACTGCATCCCGTACTGACTTTGTTAGATGTTGGCATGCTAAGACTGACGGCTGGGCGGCATCGACATTCCACAGCAACTGCGATGGTAGGGGACCTACAGTGACAATCATCAAAGTGAACGAGTACATATTTGGTGGATATACTGATGTGTCCTGGAGCGGAGGCACGCATATCAAATTTTTAATGAGGGGACAAGACAATTTTATAGGATCAACTATCATTCTTTTGGGATTTAAGGGGGAGGGAGCTGGAGGAAATATTAAACGATGCTCCTTTGATAATAGCTCTAAACCTTTATTATTTCATAATAGTTTTTTGGCCATCAAGATTTATTCACACCTATATCGTCTATAGAAATTTTCCTATTTGATACACCTGCAGAACAACATTACATCCTAAAACATCTAGTAATAACAACACTTTGACCAAAGGGGTCATTTGCTTCAAGTCTCAAAAATTTTTACTCGTTTTCTTCAAAGAAAACCCTTAAATCTTCCATAATTGTTTTTGGAACACGTTTCTATACTCAAACTAGTAAAATATCTCCCTCCCTTTCACAAATCTCTAGTCCAAGAAAAAAACTCTCCGTCTAGCCTATGATAGAAAATGAACTCCCCACCCAATCCCCCCTTCCTCACGGGGTTTACGTTTTCTTCCAACTTTTTAACGTACGATCACTTTGTTCTTCTATTTCAGCTGGTTCTTGCGCTTATTCCTACGCCAATAAAGCTTTCATCTTCTCTCTCTATAACGTCAAAGGATGCAATCCCGTAAAGTTAACACAATACCAAAATCAGCAATATATAATGTACAGATGTAATACGTAGGGACCTACCTTTGGGAATGGTCATGATATCTACAAATCCGACGACTAACCCTAACCCTAACCCAACCAAAATTCCTACACCAGATGCGGTTCCACGTACACGGCTTAGCAGGGCCTGTAGCAAAATCAAATCGTGTACTGTAGAAATATTCTCAGAAAGTTGTGTTACTGGAGTACGGATAGCTTACTTTTTTCCATTTTAAAGAAATGTGTAAGCTTATTAAGTCTCTTTCGCAGCATTTATTTAACTTCATCACGCAACGCATTGCGTGACGAGCGTGAGAGGACTTGCTTGAGTTGCCGCGGGGATTTGTGGGTGTTACATGAAAATGAAACTGGTAGGGCCACTTGTAAGAACGCTTGAGCTAACAAACAAATTTAAATTATCCACTTTAGATTCAAAGGCGACACCACCAATCAAAGCTTTTCGTCCATTTATTTGGCCGACTGTAATTTTTCCTTTTTTTTTCTTTTTCTCTCCTCAGGCCGTGGTTTGTCCGCCATACTTCGAAGCCTCGATTACAGCCAGTACTTGAAGGTCTTGTTTTCGTATTTGGACCCAGTCCTTATCAATAAAGAGCGTAGCAGGTTTGTGAGGTGTTGGCACGCAAAGACTGACGGTTGGGCAGCATCTACATTCCTGCCCTGGACCAGCAGTGAGTAAAAAGCAAGAAAACATCTCTTAAATGTAGAACAGATAACAAATCGATTAGTCGTGGACTTTTCTTGTAGCAGTGAGTTCATCTTAGAGACAGAAAATATCACATT